GAGACCAAGAAGATTGGAACTGTACCAACTCTGGACTTTGATCCAGTTGAGCACACGAGGAAAACTGAAGAATCAACCAATAAAAACAACGCAACATTACCCAGTCTTTCATCACATTTCAGAAAAGCTATTCATGTTGTGGAAATTATTAACAAGGCAGGAGAGACAGTGCCCCGAGTAGTAGACTTTACGTCCACAACTCCACAAAATGAACATTTTACCAAAACGAAATACGTCACTGAGATTGCCTCGACATTGCCCGAACAAGACTCTATTGGAATGAACAAATTTATGATTGACGTGAAATCATTGTCAGGGGAACCTGCCTTTGAGGAACAAGACAGTGAAGCTACGTCAACGGGTTCACCCCCTGGACTTGAAACAACATCCGTGGGGTCAGCTACAAAACGCGAGCAGCCAAAGGTTTGGTTCAACGCTAGAAAGTCTCATCAAAGTAACGGTGAACTGCTTCAAAACAACATTAAAGTTCTCAAAACATTCAAGTCTGAAACAGTGGCTCCATTCCAGTGGTTTGTCACCGCCCAGCGTCCCTACGTGAGGCCAGTCAAGCAGCACTCAGAACACGGGCCACACGATTTACACCCCGACACATTACAACCGACTTCCCTATCAAATCCAGCTGTGGACACCGATGATACCATAATTCAGGTAGATAATTTAGAAACAGACATCACGACAAATGGATTCATACCATCTTTGGATGATTTCGCTATGGATTCCAGCACACAAGTTTCGGGCGTGCCTGAATCAATAACTTCCAAGGCGCGTGCACAGTATACAATTAAATTACCCCAGTCAGTTCAAGAAACAGACATCGATGTACAAAATAGAGTTTCATCTGACGTTGGGTATTCACCGGTAAAGGAAAAAGAACCAAATGATCATGCAGAAGTAAACAATGGTCGTCTAACTACTGTTGAGAACAATGGTCTTCTAACTTCTAGTGAGAACAATGGTCGTCTAACTTCTAGTGAGAACAATGGTCTTCTAAACACTGTTGAGAATAATGGTCGTCTAACTACTGTTGAGAACAAGGATGAAACAAATACAAAATCTTATACCACTGTCGACATGCCATTGTTTTTCTTTCCGTTTGAGAGAATTGAGAATGTTGACAAGACAAATGATGGCAATCCTGTTTCATCCCATGAAACTCTACCAAAACTAGAAACTGTTAGCACGATAAAGTCAGCTATGATCAGCAAAACGACCAAGTCACCTTTAAGTAGCACCACAACCAAGTCAGCTATGACTGACTCCGCGATAAGGTCACATGGATACACGGTTATTGGTTATAAGAATAATGCCGTTTCACACGAACAGTCATTGGAGGCGAGTAAGTCTTCAGGAAAAGACACGGCGTTCTTTGACATCCTCAGTCTCCTAGATAAATTCGACAAGAGCTTGAACAGTCCTAACAGTCCTGGTATCGGTCAAGATGTTGTTAAAAGTATCGACCATGCGGATGACTTGAAAGACGCTAAACTTTACTCAAGCAGATCTCCGTATGTCAGAGAAGCAAATGGTTTAGAACAAATCAGTGAAAGCGAGCAAACGACAGAAATACAAGAACAGGACCAGGGCGTGTTTATAAAAGAGATGATTAACCCAGATGCCGTGTTACCTGATTTAGCCATTTCAGGTGGTGTGGCGCCTGACCCCAGTAAGCAAAGTAGCAACACTGTAAACAGCTACAGAAATGAAGAACGACGTGCTGGACAAGGGGAAGTAACCATGTTGAATCATCACAGAGAGGAACAGACGTCAATGGTTAACAACGTTACAGAGCAACGAGAGAACGTCCAAACTGAGGGCAGTAGGCAAAGCCAAGATGGGGGTCACTGGAAAGATGAAGAAAAAGTTAACTTCAGTAAGAAAATAGATCATCTGGAATATTTCCAAGATGTCAGCAGTAAGAAGGTAATCAACGGCAATGTACGAGAGAAAAGCAAAAATAAGGAGCTGTCAAAAAATAGGGTGGATGACATAAGCATTAAATATGAAGATGTAACAGGAAACAATCACTATGAGAATATTCAGAGTCAGGCGGAAGACAATCATCATAAGAATAGTCATCAGAGTCAGACGGAAATGATCGCTGAAAAACGTCCACCAGCTTTAATATTAGAGTCGAGGCCAGGTGATATGAAAAGTGTGAAAAAGGTGAACGTAGAGGATAAGGCTTCAGAAGAGGTTAACGTTGCCAAAGAACAGAATACAGTGAATATGAGAGAGATTATTCCAAGTATTTTCCTTGATAATAATATCTCTGATGTGGTAACTACCAAAGAGAACTTGTTGGAGAAAGACAACAAAAATATAATAAGTGACCCAGCACATGGGGGTGGGGAAGGCTATGGGGACCCCATGGTAACTAAGGTCAAACACGTTGAAGAACTCTACGATAACAATGACATTGACAATAATGTTGACATGGCTAGCAAAATAATGGTTGATGATAATTCAAATAATGATAATATAAAATACGAGCAAGTAACTGCACGTAATAAAGACATCGATAGAAACACTCATGAACGCATCCAACATAAAAATGATGAAATTTTAACTCCAGATACAACTAGAGTAGTAAAGAATATAAAGGCGACCCTCCCAATAACCAGCGGAACACCGATCGAAAGATCAGAATATCCCGCGAGTCAAACTCAGACACAATCCCACAATTCCAAGAAAGATGTTCCACGTGAAGAAGATCAATACTTGGCAAATGAGTTTCAAACGGACACAATGCCGTCTGCTCATGAAGCCCCCGGGCTCAGTAAATTGAAATCAGTGGAAAGTGTGCATGATGTTGTAGATGACGCCTTTGATACGGGAAACCCCAGAATCGATGCCATGCCTGAAACACTAAACGGAAAGGCGTCGACGTCATTGACGGAAAGCGAGCTTTCAAAGAGCTGGCCAGGACAAAGTAAGGGATATCAACCATCCTTGGATATCGAATCGTATAGTCTGAAGAAGGAGACCCTTGAGGCACTTTCTCTGTCAGCACCAAAGAGGCAAACTCCTTCTTATAAGAACTCCCTACCCATATCTGCCTGGATTGATGGAGAAGAAATCTTGGAAAACACGCCAAAAGAAGATATTGTAAAGAAGGTGCGTGTTGACCACTCGGACTCGCTGGATGAAAACATTACACGGCCTCTCGTTCCTGGAACAAATGCTGCGATTTCTAATCATCATATTACTTCAAGTGCCAAATTCGAAGTCAACGCTCAGAGTTTCGGAAGTTCATCAACGTCTTCGTCTAAGGAAGAAGCACGTGAAACGACAGGTTATTTAAATAGCGATACAACAATTGAACCTAACGAAGTTTTTGCATCCACGACTCCACGTCAGGAAGTCACTGAAGGTCAGTACACAGAATCATCCAGTGAGATGTTCAATCCTCACGAATTCACCCAAAGTACCACAAGTACTAACTGGCCACAGGAAACGTATCTGTCAACCAGACCATCGAACGTACCATCCTCCAGTAAGTTAAATGTCAAATCGGAGAAAAACGTGGAACCAAAAGAAGATACGATTACACCAGAATCGATCAAGAATGTCCAAATTGTGGAACATCTTACTAATAATGTTGTGAACGTCACCATGCCAGGTTCAAGTACAAATAGTGGATATGATGGAAGTCGTACAAGATCAAGCGGAAAGTATCCCAAAGATACACACATTTCAGATGAATACAAGGATGACCCAATGGATAATGTATTGGATAAGGATTTAAAAAAACACACTGAATTGAGCATAGAGTTTCCAAATAATGAAATTGAACCCTATCTGGATACAAAAGCATCGGATATGTTAATACCACGTGATCTTTATAGCACTGTGTCATATTACAAAACAACTTCCGTGGAAGCCAGCAAAATGGGAAAATTTGACGAGGCATCTCCGACTAATGGCATATTAGAATCCTCGAACCAGACAACTCATGACCCATTTGATTTAATGAATCTATTTATTGCGAATATCAACTTACTTGACTCGATCAGAGATAAGAAGAGTCGCGTTGATGACGATTCTGATGCCAATGTGACCGCGGTGTACCAAAGTGATGAAGAGGTTATACTCAAGAAAGGAGACGAAAACTCACTCAGTAGTTTAGATGGTAAATCAATCAAAAATAATACTTCTGGTGAAGATATACACACTGAGATTACGCGAGATTCAAGTGATTCCGACGTGACTGATTCAACAATCACGTACAATCTGGCAAATGACTTCTCTTTGGATCAACATACTTCAGATGTACCGAACGTGTCGTCCAACACAAGGGATGACAAGTTTATTGAACTGACAACTACGGAAGTGACAACTGGTGCTCGACAAGAGAAAGAGGACAGGAACAGCTCACATAAACAGTCCACATATCAAACTACTGCTTCATACTTGGACACTGCCATAACCCAATCCAGTGCACCTTCCTTACCTCATGAAGATGAGCTGGACAAACATGAATCTGAAGATATTCAACGTGTTGCTTTAATCACGACAGAATCAACCATAACCATGGATTCAAACATATACACAGACTCCAATCTCCCCACTGAAACTTCACAAGATGAGACGAAAACAGCAGCAACCACACACACACCAGAGGTTAATGGTAGCGGGCCAGTGGCGATCACCAAGTTACTTGATAAGTCGACAAATGAAGAGGCCGGCTCTGGTGGCTTAACCCAAAATATCAAGAACATCCTGACACTGGGATCATATCCTCAAAGCAGAACGCTTGGCTTGGATAATCCAAATGAGCGGGATCCGAAATCTCTCCCCAGTATCATGAACCCAGTTTTATACGTACCCCCAACGAAGGCAAATCTAGACAAACAACCGCTATTAGATCTGTATTTACAATCGTATTCGCATCCAAAGGCAATGCTCAACATCGAAATGAAAACTTTGCCGGAGAACGGTTTCAAACTACACACGGTGACTCAAGATTCTCTCAGCGAGAGGCCGACCCACCAGCCACTCCACGAGCTGCCGTGGTTAAAGCTGTCACGTGCCAACGGCGGGGTCAAGAGAAACAACGTTCACCGTAAAATAAATCTGGACAAACTGAGAAGTTACATCAAGGACATCCGCCACGGACCCTCTGTCCACGTGCCCCGCCAGGGTCTGTACACCCCGAAGCTGGACGCCGCCAACCAGACACTGAGGGCGCCAGATGCCGCTGCAGTTCTACCCAATGCAGTGGAGCGCTACGGCTCCCCTTACACGTCCATCAATGGCGTCAGCACAGTCTTCACGCGCTATTGGCCAGCAGTACTGGGTGTCAGCATTGGCACAATGTTCCTGCTCACTGCTCTCATCACCTCCATATTGTGCCGACAACGCAGGTGAGTAATTTAAAATTACGTATGGTTTTCGATTTATCTTAGACCAGAGGATTCCAGCGGTCTAGTTATACAAGTTATAAATACACATGGATACGTTTGAGACCGAACAGCTTGGCTGTTGAAACGCTCACATCATCGACATGTGGATAAAGTGCTTTTCATTATAAGAAAATCACTCACTCTCTCTCTTGTTATTCTTCGTCAAACTTACTCCGTTTTTTTAATTCCCTATAATTACTATAATACATTTCCTCGGTTTTATTTTGACTAATTTGACTCACCTCTACTTCAGACTGATGGTTCAACGAGCCAGTTGGTCAGACTCCCCTCAATACCTGAGTGAACCCCCGGACCCGAGTGAGTACGCCACCTCTTCAGCTGCCTCTCTCTCCAGTGATTTGACCCGATCTTCAGTGAATCTCGTAGGTCGCCATAGTTAGCCTATCCCCCACGTGCGCTGGTGTCAAGTATAAACTGCGGGCTACGTTTACCAGGAATAGTGCACGGTTTACCAAGAATGATGCATGCCAACATGATACAATAAAACTCTATTACAGCGAGCCAGGCTTATGGTTGTGTACTACCCACAAGTGGTTCCCTCAATCCTACATGAGAAGAGTTACGTGTCTTGTTTAAGGGCAACTACTTGTTAAAAGGTTTGAGCCTGGGATGGGAACAATTGATACTATTTACTAGTGGTGGTAGAAGAGTATCACTTATTTGTAAAAAAATAAATAAATAAAATAAAATGATAAAAATACTCATTGAGAACTAAGCATAAGTTATCCCTATCAGATACTCGTAGTAAAATGAATAACTAACTCAAGCAACTTAGCCAGAACAAGGAATGCACCTAACTACGTCAAACAGAATAGAATTCTCAGAAACATTCCTTGGTGTAATGCACAAAATATGACAGTGTTAATGGCAATCCTTCATATACCACAGCTTACTGATTCCAGATACTGTTGGTAGATACCTTACAAAAAAGGTATAAGCATGAAGGAGTTACGTTCTGTCAGGTATATGTGTATGTCAACAGTAGCCTAACTTTGTGTTAACATGAACACTGGAAATGATGGTGCATTCTGTTGGTCAAAGACTTGTACATATATTTATTCTGTAAAAAGAAATCGTTCCCAGTGTGAATCATTCTGAATGGGTGTCAGACTAAATGATTTCTTCATGCAGGCATGAGTAAGAAATAAGGTTGAATGAAATCCGATCATGAGTTCAAGAAAAAAAGTCAGGTTTAAAAATATAACTTTTGAAATTACAACTAAACACTGGCGCTGGGAAGATTTGGCAGTAGCCTACTGTCCTGAGACGAGGTAAATACTTTATAATCAAAACAAACTTTTCAGACCGTTTGACAGTGGATGACAACTTAGGAAGTTGACCCTTTTGGGGTCAGCAATATTTTTATGATTGCGAGTCTGGTCATGAAATAGTAATTAATTCCAATAATTCTACCATTATTTGAGACCGCACAACTGATGATCTGAATAACCATAAACAATACTCAAAAATTAAAATATTTGTCTAATTAGCTAACAGACTAACAGTCAGAGATTTTCTACTGCTACTTCAACCCTACAGCTTAGTTTTAAAAGCAAAGTACGTACGTCATGTTTACAGTTCAAACCAAATGTTTTTTTCCCAATTTTTTAAAATGTGTCTATGCCATCTTCATAATAGCAATAATTCATTTCCTAGTGAAAATGAAGCGTGGTCAAATCAAATGTAAATAATTGTTTCATTTAAACATTTTGTGAAAAGTTTTAATATCTTTTCACATGATAGTCATCATGACCAACTTATTCATTTTAAAACAATTTTTTTTTTTTACAATGAATATTAACTTTAAGTTAAGGAAGAGTAGATGTTGAAAAGATTTAACCCAACATACATTTTAAAAATAATTGCTAATTTGAACATTTTTTTCTTATATCAGAACATCCATTTTCTGAGAATTCATATGTCGAGTGTGTTTGTCTTTCATCCTCTATAGCTGGTATCTTCTGCAGTATTCTGATCATTTCAACTTGTAAAATATGTAATATTTACATGTATATATCTGTAAATACCAAACATATTTAATGTATTGTCTCATGATGTGATATTATATCTTGCTCATGTTTCCCATGTTGATCATCAAATAAAAATGTAAAACTTTATTTTTTCTAAAAAGCCATTGATTTTTTTCTGCTGTAAGTAAGGAATTTTTTAAACATCAGTGGTGTCATCCGACAAAGACAGATCCACGATTTACAATATTATACATCAACTGATGGTGTACATAAAACTCAACAAAAGTGAATATTATTTGAAGGTATGTATTGAAGAGATAGGGAACCATCAGAAGTCAGTCACATGATTTAGCTGTCTCTGGGTGAAAAAGCGATGTCTTGTTAATTCTGCCTTGCTGTCCTTCTTTTTAAAAAAATGAGACAAGACTGGAGTCCCCTGGGGTGCTGCATCTTCTTCTTCATCATCTTCCCTAAATGTCAGAGATAGATTCTTGTAGTTCAACATAAGAAGTTGTGTTCAAAGTTTACTCCAAACCAAACTTTTGAACTAATTTGAGAACTACGCTCTTTCACAAGATATAAATATAATACACTAAATTCAAATTAACTACCTAAACAAAACTATTTTTAGATACTTGACCACTATGCACATGCTCAAGTATAAAGTGTTTGGAGTATGTTCAATAAAATTAACACACCAATGAACTGGAACTCCATCTTTCTCCATAATAAGAGCAGCTGTTGACCAACTGAACCGCACAAAAGAAGGAAAGCCAAAGATTCTGTCAAAACTTTTCTCTAGGAATTTCTTAGTCTTAGGATCTGAAAGGCATTGAGAAAATATTTTCTTGATTAAGATAGAACAAAATGCCATTTGTTATATTCATTTTTAAACACAAAAATTAATTTGAGTTTCTAGAGAGATCCTTAAGATTTTACTTTGATTCTAAAATCGGTTTCCTTGGGAAATATAACAAACTATTGACTTATTTTTACTTTGCTTGGTTTCATATGTTTTATATTCAGATCATCATCATTTAGAGACCATAGTAATGTAAAAAAAAATAAAACTTGCATCAATAAACATTAAATAAAGACATGATATAAAAACAACCGGCTATTAAGGACTCACCCCCAGGGTATCCAGATCCATAGTCTGGGTCATCTAACGAGATACCTTCCATAAAAACCCAGCTCTTCACAGCCTGGTCTCTTGCAACCTGAAATTATATAACTCAATTAGAAACAAGCAAAAAAACTCAATTTAAACTCAACAAAGTATGATTTATTTAAGTATGTGTATATTGTCAATCCTCCTTTCTATTTTACTTCAAGGAACAATAACAATAACGTAAATACAAATCATTATCACAGCATATTTACTTTAATTTTAAGTTTCAACCAAACAAAACTAAAAAATAAGTTTACCTTAGCACAAATACTTGCTGCACTAACAATGGGGAAGAGAGAGTCAGCTTTTTTGCTCACTGTAATATCAATAGTGGGGAAAATCTCTTTTAACTTGTTTTGATACTTGGTTGGATCCCCCACTGTGTCTACAAATACCTTACAAAAAGGATATGCGTTGAATAGCATGTCTGCAATGTTGGCAGGCAATGAAGCAAAGTCAAGATTGTGAAAATAAACAATGCAATTTTTAAGCAGCATTTCAATTTGATATTTTTAATTCTAAGTAGTTGTAGGAAAGAAAAATTACACCACTTTAACAAAATTAAATGAATTGTCCTCATAGCATGGCAAAATTACTCACTATTATTGGAGTGCTTTAGTAGCAATGTTCTATTTTAGAGTAATAATTTTTAAAAATCTGAAAGTATTAGTCATTTGAAAACTTTTTACACCAGCAAAATATTTTAAAATATTCCCAATTGCTGATATCTAAATAATCAGTTGAATATGAGAACAAGTTACTAATGCAGCCCAAGCTAAAATTTCCATTAAATAAATTTCAATACTATTCTAAAAATACTAAAATGTATAAAAGTCTCTTATCTTTTAACACCAAAATCTTTATTTGAAATAAAGTCCGGAAACACAATAAATAAAAAAAAAAAACACTCTAAAACACAACTAGTGAAACACACATCTAACTAAATATGAATAGTTTTTTAAACCAAAGCAACAAATATTAGCTTATAAGAAGCTCTTGGCTTTATATTATGATGAAGCCTTTAAATATAAATTAAATGAAACTAATGAAAGAACACAATCAAGTTTACCTCTGTAACGTTAACTTCTCTTTCTAAGGCTTTATTTATCAATCGTATGGCACAATCATGTGACAGAGCGTTCAAATTATATTTTTCCCTGAAATAAAATTAAAATCACATGAATAGGAAATAAAAAAAACAATTATATAATATGTTTAATCAGTGCTAATAAAAACTTATGTAAGAAATTCTAAGTCTTAATGGACACAAGGAGTATTTGGTTAAAGCTGATTCATACTTGTGCTGAATTTTAGAAAAACAGAAAATAAGATTTCCTCCACCCATACATGCCAACATGTACAGTCCTCCCATGCATGCCAATATGTACAGTCCTCCCATAAATGCCAACATGTACAGTTCACCCATACATGCCAATATGTACAATTCACCCATACATGCCAACATGTACAGTTCACCCATATATGCCAACATGTACAGTTCACCCATACATGCCAACATGTACAGTACACCCATACATGCCAACATGTACAGTTCACCCATACATGCCAACATGTACAGTTCACCCATACATGCCAACATGTACAGTATACCATATGTGCCAACATGTACAGTACACCACACATGCCAACATGTACAGTACACTCATACATGCCAACATGTACAATTCACCCATACATGCCAACATGTACAGTACACCCATACATGCCAACATGTACAGTTCACCCATATGTGCCAACATGTACAGTACACCCATACATGCCAACATGTACAGTTCACCCATATGTGCCAACATGTACAGTTCACCCATACATGCCAACATGTACAGTTCATCCATACATGCAAATATGTACAGTACACCCATACATGCCAACATGTACAGTTCACCCATACATGCCAACATGTACAGTACACCCATACATGCCAACATGTACAATTCACCCATACATGCCAACATGTACAGTTCTACCATACATGCCAACATGTACAATTCACCCATACATGCCAACATGTACAATTCACCCATACTTAAAACATTTAAACAAACATTTTTTAAAGTTATACAAATTCCTAGTTTATAGGGCTGTTCAGGACTATGTATGGTTTTTCACAAGATTTAGAGCAAAACAATTTTGCACAAGAACAAAATAAGTTCATTGTATTATAAACAGTTATTTGAAATAGACTTAAATAGTTTTGTTTAAAAAGCTTCTGATGAAACAAGAAAACTGATATAAAATGAACCACTTCTCTCTTTCATTAAAGACAACATAAAATGATCTCCTGGTACATGATGATCAAATCTCTATTGCCTCATGACTTAGCTTGAAAGCACAAATTTAAAATGCAGTTTGAAATAAGAAAACAATACCTTTGAAGCATGCTGGATGAAATGTAAGCTGGTGAAAGAATCTCTACAATCCAGCCTAACATGTGCAGTGACTCATTCATCTTTTCAAAAATAGACTCTCTCTGTTCTTCAGAAAGGGTCTTGGAATCTGAAATAAATTTACATATATTCTTAGAATTCAAAATTATCACTTCATTTTCATGACAATGAGCTTTAATACTTAACTGAATTATTTTTTAAACATTCAATTTTTTTTATAGGAATATCCTTAAATAATCAACATCCTTGAAGATTTGAATGTCTATACACTTTCATTTTATAAATTGCAACTCACCTGCAAATTTCAAGTCTGTGAGCTGTTGCTTATCTGCAATAGGACTGAAGCAGATGCCGTATACCATTGGCCCTAAATAAAAGGATTTTGTAAGATCGGGGTCATAACATACTTAAAGGTAAAAAATTCTCAAACTGGTCCCAAACCTGCAAATCTTTTTTTTTTTTTAATTCATAGAATAAATATAAAATTCTTTATCACATTAATAAAAGTACAGTATGTATAATATATATGTTACCGGCAATGTGTGAAATGCAGGTATTGTATAGAATGCCAAGAAATTATATAGAATGCTTGAAGTTTTTAGGCGAAGTATGAAATATTTGATTTTTGTGGTTATGTTACATACTTTGTCTGAGCATTTTATACATTGCTTAGATATTATACGTAATGACAAATATACTTCAGGCAAAGTTTAAAAAGAGCGTAATGAAAGCGTTTTTATTAGAAAAATCATATTTGCAAACGAAAGAAGAAAAAAAGAAATGAGTAAAGGACGTTCTTAAGAACGGAACGGGAAAGTAAAGGTGGCATCCAGCTATTTGTTGCAGCATGTAAGGCTGGAGTAGCATTTTGAATTGCACTTGATTTTCTTTTTCACACAAAGACACTTCATGTTTTGGCAATTGGTCTTGAACATACACCTCAGGAATCCTTGACCACTTCCTGTTGACTGAGAGATAGCAGCGGATCGGAGAGGTATTTCATAGTCAGGGGCGTCTTCAACTCTCATCGGACGGTGATCTCGCATACAGTTGTTTCAAGATACGTTGTGCAGTTCCAAGTCGGTAAAAGCTGTCTTCTGTCACTGCCATAACAACTGCCAACAGAGAGCTGGCGTCACCCTGTCCCTTGTCATTGTCAGGAATAGGAACTCGCCAGTGGCTCCTAAAGGTGCAGGAGGGAATTTTTTTTGTCAGAGTTTATTTTCTTTGGCCTGGATTTCAAGGTTCGATTTAGATTCTTTTCTAGCTTAATTCTACAGCTCTCTTAATCTTGAAACACAGGCTGCACAAAATATCAACACATTAACCTTCTATTTCCTCATCTCCATCGTCTTTAGCAGCATTCCCACAGATAACATAAACATGACGGCAACAGTGTCGGCATGTATGGACACTGCTGCTTTCTTTTAAGCAGACCCAACAAACAGCAGAAGTGGCAGGCTTTTGGTAACCCTGCCATCACAATCAGTTTGCTTTCTTCCATTATTGGTTGTATTCTCTTCAGTATTCTGTGTAGTAGGCTCTGTATCTTGCATCTGGTGATTTGCTTCTTCCTGCTGTGTTATTTGTACGCTTTCTATTATTTTTTCGAGTTCTTCCTCAGTCTGTATGTCTTGCAAAATGTCAGGGGGTAGGCAAGACGTTGCGAGGCCCACTTTAGCTTTGCAGCCAAACAGAGCTTCAAAAGGCGCTCTCTAAATTCCAGAATGAAAGGCCCAGTCCTTAATAAGTTGGACGAATCATAACCCCTGAGTTCAGTGGTCAGTTTTTTTCATCTTGCATCCAAGCTCATAGCATGTTTTCAATGTCTTGATTAGCTCTTTCGACACTGCCCTGGCTTTGTGAGTGACGCGATTTACCATGGACGAACTTCAACGTGGGCCAGTACTACTTTAGGCTGTTCACCACATTGTTTGCAAATTCCCTGCCATTATCAGGCTGTGGAATTGATGGAGCTCAAAGCAACGTCAATATGTCCACGAGTGTGTAAGGCTACCGTCCTCTTTGATGTTAGAGCCCTCAGAACCACAAACTTTGTGAGATGATCTTGGTACACCATTATGAATTTATATTCCCTGTCAGGATGGGACTAAACATCGATAAGATCCACCTGACCACGGGAGTTGAATTCAGAAAAAACCGTAGGCTTCACCATGACACCCTTTTTGACACCTTTTTATTTCTTTTGTCATGGCTCACAAAGGTGGAAATACAGTTCAATATCACTACAATTAATGTTCTCATATTTGTGTTGTGCTCTTTCAACATTTTATCCCATCCTCCGTGTCCTATGGCCAAATGAGCCTCATATTGTACAACAAATAATGCAAAATCCGTGACATAGAACGGAGTAGCACTGTCGCCCTCTTTAACAGTATAAATCAACTTAATTTTGTTCTCTACCGCCATTACATCATAGCGTTTCAGCAGCCAATAGTCTCGTAGTTCCTTCTGAGTAGTCGTTTTAGCCTTTTTCACATCATCCACTAATTTTGGGTAACTGGTCTCCTTATTGAAACATGGTTTTTAGCTAAATTGCCTCGTACTTGAGAATGTTCACTGTAGAACCGCCGTTGCATGTAAACATGTCAATATTTCTGATCTGTAACTACAATCTGATCTTCTAACATCTCAGCAGCGGTCTTGAAACAATAGGGGCAAGCGTCTTTGGCGGGAGCAGGAAGCACATGTGTCGCGATCGCCACGCCACCGCTGAGCAAAGAATCAAGCATGAATGGCGGGGTATTCTATACATTGCCGGGTTGATCTCCGGCATTGTATAGAAAGCCTAGGAAATGTGTGAAATATAAATCATTTCATACTTTGCCTACAAAATTCAGGCATTCCATATAATTCCTAGGCATTCTATACAATGCCGGATTTCACACATGGCCGCTAACATATAAATAATAATAATACCAAGCTTATGCTTGTAGAGATATCATTTACTTTTTCGAAATATAACAAAAACTTATATACAATTACAATATAAAAAAAATTACAATACAAAAGCAGACCTGTTTACCCTCAAACTCCTAAAATCGTACAATATCACCTCAAAATCGTACAATACAGTACAATATGTCCAACAAAAAATCAACTGGAACTGCTAGCACTGCCCCCCCCCCCCCCGAAAATCTGAAGTGCCCCTTCCCCGAAAATCTGAAGTGCTCCCGCGGTGGAAAATTTCTGAAAGAAACATGCCCCTAACTAGCTGGCGCCCGGGGACATCCGTCCCCCCTGCCCACCCCCTCGCTACGCCTCTGGATAGAGCTGCTCTGCGAGTTCTAAAATATTTTTTTTAATGCCACTGACTAAATCTTACACCTCTAGTTTTCTCTCTTCACAATCCTCGCGGTTCAGACGAACACACGCTTGCTAGCAGTAGCAGTCCAAGGAGGTGGTGAGTGAAGTTGTTGCCAGGCGACTAGCCTAAAGATTGCTGCTGACACAGCTGGCTAGTTCACTGTGACACGCAAAGCAACACTAAGACAATCACCACCATCAATAGGATGCGTTGCGGTGATATTTTTATATCTTTTGAAAGTCCCACCTATCCCACCCCCTACCCGTGTTTCTGGTATGCCACCAATCTCTTTAATCAACAATCCCCACCTCACCTTTCAGTGCGTACATAATATAATGAAGGATGGTCCCAACTATAAAAAAACATAGAAAAACCAATGTTTTTCTGGGTCCATTCAATGCGGGGCCATAGGGCTAAAGCTTCCACAACCGAACATTTTAAAACTTTTTTTAAATCTGACAAAATTACATAAATATTTTTCACCGGGTCTCTGAAAATTGTAGTTTTGGCGGGTCTCGGCGTACAATCGTAAAAGACATCTAAAAATCGTACATTGTACGCCAAAATCGTAAGAGTAAACAGGTCTGCAAAAGTAATTTGCTATTTGAATTAATAGTTGAATCATAATATGATGATGAATTATCAGACACAGAATAATGAGGAACTGTCCAAGACAAAATATTTTAAAATATTCTTGCTAGCCAGTAGTCCAATGGCTTTGAAAAAAAAAAAGGTGTACAGTTTGATTTACATATTCAAACAGTCCATTTAATATTTACACAATTAACACAATTAATTTTACTTTAAAAAAATTTTCTTCAAAATTTAAACTTCTCCCCTTGTGATTTTTTCATGGGACATTTTTTTTAAAAACCAGATTAAATATGTGAGGACATTAAGAAAAGTTAGCAGTTTTCAATACCTAGAACTGGCCCACGGCCAGCCTCATCAATACCAAGCCAACAGGGTTCATTTTTTAGACGATCACAAATAGGAGACTCTATGGTGCAATTTTTGCTGCGATCAACCTCATAAGTTGACTGATTCATTTCCACTGTAAATAGAAAGATCATCAAATTTGAGTAAATTGATTTTTTAAAACTTTAAATTCACCTTTAAAGGGTTATAACATTGGCATGAGACAACAATAATTTTATGTTGTGTGATGCTGTTTTAATCGTTAGCCATCAGCAACATATTGCTAAAAAAAAGATTTAAAAGGAAAAAAAAAGACTACAGGTGCAAAACAAGAAATGTGCCATCTTAGTATGGAGAGAGTGTATCCATCTTGTTAATGTAATTTTTTGTTCTGAAAAGTTCATCAACCTTACAAAATTGAAGATTCTACTTATCAAAGTCTAAGGATTTAAGATATGTAATCCAATACTATATTTTGGTATTTCTCAAACTTTTCAGTGTGTAAGTGTGTAGAGTGTAGTGTGAAAGACAAGCAAGGATTATTTACCCTGAGGCCAATTTATTGGATATCATTAATATTAATAACATGGTATTGTTTTTTGTAAACTTCCAAAACATTTTCCCCTGGCAATATGTGGTGGTCACTAATAATAACCACTGAGAGTAGCACTGCTATGATCTTAATTCTTATACTATATTATAATTACATTAGACTGCAATTTTCTGTAAGCAAAATTTAATTAGTGCCAGCCATCTATATTATAGACAATTGTGATGTCACAGTAAAAAAATGTGTCACAGGTTTCCACTGCTGAGTCTCTATTTAGCATCCCTTAAATATTTGATTATAAAATTAAGTCATTGTTTATGGATGGCCTCAAAGGTGAATGGTAGATTAGCCTAAATTTAAATATTACTGATACTACTTCTACTACTAAACTAAGGTCACTAGTACTAATTATATCTAATCATAGTGAGTTCACTTGTGAAAAACATAGCAAGGATAATCACAAAATATTGTGAGTGATTAGTGTTACAAATTACAGCATTAGACATGTAGACTCTACACTGTGGAGTTTAGGATTGCCTTTATCAACAGTTTCAGGTTGAGACCCCTCTTTAGCTGGAGGGTATCCCCCCAAACCCTCCTTATGTTTGTCCCGTTTTTTCCAGTTCATGATTTGGTCACCCAGTATATACCCTGCAGAGATCATCCCCCCACCCCCATCAAAGTCTCCACCCCCCTCCTCCACCTTTCTCAGTGTGTAGAGTAACCTGGAAGATGGTCCATTTGTAAATCTCAAAGCAGGGAGTAATTCAAGAGTCACTGTTTACTAAACAATGTTTAAACTAGTTTACAGTTACTCTGAATAAATCTTTTAATACAGTTTCAGTTTGAGTTTGACTCACAGTACAGACCACAACTGAGTGTGACGAGTGTGAATGAAAATGATTTGGAATTTGTGATCGTCACTGAGTGAGTCACTGTGTAATGAAAGTAGAATAATTCAAATATTGCCAATTGAGAGCTGCATTGTATGAACTAACCTACTGCCGTTACTTGTAGAATCATTCATTACCTGAAATTCTTTAATAGTAATTATACCAATATAATAAAAATTACATTTCAATAATACTGTTTTGTTGGGTCTCACAGTAAAGTGATGGAAATTACCGCCAACATTTACTTCCCTTCCTGAGATTACAGTATCTTCAATTTTGCAGTTGAATTTATATTTCGCCCTTCACGATTGCAATGAAAAGTGACTGACTACGGGAAAACATCATATTAATGATATAAATTATAAAAAAAATTCGTTTTCAAAAATTAAAATAAAACCAGTATCAGCAACGTACATTATATGTCACGCTCCAGAGAAATATTGGATATAATAACTTTTTTTTCTTCAAAGTATTAGTATTTTAGATATGATAATTATTTTAGACTATGTTTAAGACAAGATATTTTTTTTTTTCACTACTAGCCTACTTCACATTTGGAGTTCAGTAAAGCTGAGTACTAATTTAGTGCTTGTCACTGACTATGACATGTATTATTTTTCTTTTTAACCCTATCCACCTCAACTGTGTGTAATACTATACACCCGGAGACCGACTGTGATTGCTGATATCTCGAGTTTCCTTTTAATAATCTTTCTCATCCTCGACCTAATCCACAAGGTAGTTGGAATGAACACCTTGGTGGATACATTTGCATAAAGCATGGGAAAGTGGCTTATTTTGGGGGGCCGAAACTTTTTTTTCCACAGTCCGTAGCAACTGAGTGTAACACGCCCTTGCATAATTTAATAGAAGAAAGAAGCGTCTAAACTGGCTTGAGAACATTTTTGTTTGGTTGTTGTTTGTTGAATATTTGAATATTTGTTCGTCCATAAAATAGATTTTAAATTTTGACAGTAAATAAATATTCTGAATGCATTTGGGTACCAACAATAATATTTTAATAACATGTTTTAAACTTAAAAAACCATTTCAAAACAGAACAGTCACAATCACATGTATCGTGGAAAATATGGGCTTTGCGGCTCAGCTTGCACAGTTTATACATAAAATAACAGAATGGTCTTTACAAATATGTCTAATAAACTTGCTGAGCTGAAGTGGTTTGGGCAGGTGTTTGATGTGTTTGTAAAGATTTCAAAACACGGGCGAAGTTCTGCCTCACAATATCTTAATGCGTCGGGACGGATCGCCTCAACTCGCGGAAGGGTGAGAAAATGTGCAACGTCAATAATAATTGTCTGGTGTCTTCATGAGACAGTGAGTTAGTGGGAGGTTTATATTTAAATGCCACTATTGTTACAATTGATGCCAAGTCAACAATGTTGAAAAACACTACCAACGGCCATCTTTTACTTTTAGTTTTAGTTTATTGTATTCACAGAGAATACCTTCACCATTTGGTTCATGGCGAATATGCCTCCTTTGATTTTGTTGTTGCAGAGCACAATCTCTGGTTTCTTGCATTCAGTTTCACTTTCTATATTTGGACGATTGTGTATTATGTTCAAGAGAAATACATTTTTATGCTTTGAGCTCTAGTATTTGACAAGGTTATTTCTAGTCTGAACAAAAAACAATGATTTGTTGAGGGGCAGAGCCTTCTTTTGCTCGAACCCCTTGGGTAGGAACAGCTTGTTCCGTTTCACGGTTCCATCTAGGGTTAGTCGGTTCTTGGCCATTGGTTCTGCAAGTTGTAGAGGAATGAAATAATAATCTGTTCTGAAATTGCGGCCACTTCCATGCAAGTCCCTTGTTAGAGAAATCACAATCTCTGTGGATATTCCAAAATTTATCTTTGCTGACAGGGCACTTGCATTTTCCTTGCTGTCAACTCCTAACGTCTTCTTGGATTGATTACATTCGTCAGTTCTTGTCACACGTTGAAGCGTCGTACTATTCTCACTATCATTGAACAACTCAACTCCTTTTCATAATAACTATAACTTTAATATCTAAGTAAATATAATACACATACACTTGAATATAGCGCAGCTCGCTATCAGACCTAAATAACACACATCCTATCACTCCAAAGTTCCACTCAAGACTGCCTCACGACTAAAACATACGTCACAATACTGCATAGACAATACGTCCCGCCTCAGCATAAAAATACGTCATAGAGACAATGGCGGGAAGAGCGTTCACAAACTATAATAGTCAAGCGCGGGAAAAGCGTTCAACAACTAATGAACACAATATTGAGTCGCAACAATTACTAATGAACGCTCATACTCGACACTTGTCTATATATGGACATCCTCTCAGAGAATAGTTTGAAGTCGATTCATATTCAATGGTCCAGAAGATTTGTATTCTATATTTATCAGGCTTATAATATATTGAATAAATCTGCACTGACCTCTGAAACCAACCAGTTACTTACCTACTATGATGTTTTCTCCAGGAACATAATAACTCAAATTACTCAGTAATGCTTCTCATACATCTGTTATTATTGGATCAAAGATGTCACGAGCTAGAAAGGATTGATCTAGTTTCATTGTTGTCAAAACAAGTATGAATCAGAAGTTTGCTTAATCTCGTCATTGAAAATGTGCCCTAAAAATATGATTGCCATCAACATGGCTGAATAAAAAGTTCACTGAAATGCTGTTGAGATGAACATTACCAGTGTGTAGTAGTATTAGGGAGCCAATAAAAGCTTTCATTTAGATCGCATCATTCCTTTGCCATTTGTCTCCTCTTACTTTTCCACCTTCAATGTTGGTGCAGTCAACTATTGTTGGTATCATTTTTTTTTTTCATTAATACACAAAATAAATGCAGTGGGAGAAACTGCGCGATCCGTGAAGAGAGTTCGGTTTCAAGGCAACTAAAGCATGCCATGTAGTAGAAAAGAAAATAACAAAGAGAACCAGAGGCGTAGCTAGAGTGTTTGGCGCCCGGGGACAAGATTCATTTTAAAGAGCCTACCTTTCTTTTTTCAACTCTCAAACCCATTATTTTCATCAATAAAATAATATCAAAGCACATTTTAGCACCCCTAACTAGTCTGGCGCCAGGGACATCTGCACCCTTAGCTACGCCTCTGGAGAGAACCATTTACTGTGACATAACGTAATAGGTGTAACCCACCCAGTTGCCAGGAATAGCCAGAAACACTTTTCCCTATTATAATAAGTTTAAGGGTGTGCTAGGGACAGGGTACACAATATGTTGAGGTGGATAAGGTTAAATATTAATTATATTGCACAATACAGTTCAGTAACTGTAATAATAAGATCAGGAGCGAACCTAGAGCTTGGGGGGGGGGGGGGGGCGGCAGAGGGGGCAAACAACCCGTATGACAATTTTGAGGTTCATATAAACTATAAAACATTATATGAAAGATGCGTGTTGGGGCTCACTTTAAATATGTTGAGGGTGATAAGGTTAAATATTAATTATATTGCACAATACAGTTCAGTAACTGTAATAATAAGATCAGGAGCGAACCTAGAGCTTGGGGGGGGGGGTGCTGCAGAAGGGGCAAACAACCCGTATGACAATTTTGAGGTTCATATAAACTATATAACATTATATGCAAGATGCGTGTTGGGGCTCACTTTTGGGAGTAAGTCGGGGGCGGCATTAAGCCAAGGTATGCCACCAAATAAGAGTAAGACGAAAGCTGCTGGAAACAATTATTGTTTTATGAATTCCACATAGTGATGATTGGTTTAAATATTTTGGTGGACCTCCGAACATAGAGGTAGAAGGTGTCAACAAATTTATGCAGATTTTCGGGACCTTCTCTTAAATAGCCAAATGTTCCAACATCCCAGCCCCATCACATCATTCTCAGTGACACTATAAAATTCAAAGCCTCATGCAGAACCGTGGAAATATGTGGGTGTGTCTGGGGAATGGTCACAGGATGCAACTATCATTTTAAAGTAGACATGCTAAAAAATGTGGTTTATGAACAGCCTTTTGTCCATGTTGAGCCAAATGGGTTTATAAAAATTAGGGCACTGTTGATTTTAAAATGCATCACAATGACGATATCGTAACTTTTTTAGTAAATACTTAAAGTAAAAGTTGACATTTTATGCCTATTCTAAGATTGCACTTAATTCAATCACACCATTAATAGAGGGGCCCTTGAGTAATGCATTATTTTTTATACATTTTTTAAAACTTTAAATTAAAAAAGTTTAAACACTGATTTTGATTTCAGATGATGTTTAAAAAAGATGGTATAGAACTTTTGACTGCCATACACGATTGTCGGGTTATATGAAAAACACAAACCAAACTATTTGTACTTGTATATTTGATTTATTCAATATATAGTTTTAATACAAAGTATTATCAAATTTATGTGTAAAAAATATAAAGCTTTAATGGTTGAATGAAGTGGAAATAAATGTAAAACTACCGGTATTTTTTTCCAGATGAGTTAAATAAACTTAAATAAGATAGGTATACATTAATTCAAAGAATATGAGAGGTTGCTAGCCTGAACTTATGGCAAAATTTAGAACTATATTCTTTTATGCCCACCTACTATCCTTTAGTACCCCAAAATTGCAAAAGGCAGTTTGGTAACCACTAAATAAATGTTAAAAATTAAATAAATTGTCAATCTACAAAAATCAATTGTAAATGTTGTGTCAAAACATTATTTTGTAAACATTAAAAATATAATTATAATACCAAAAATTGTTGAACAAAAATAGTACAACTTTTTCTACATAGAATTAGATTCTATAGATATTTTAGTATTATTAATAATATTATCACTTAATCAGCAATATTATCTTGTTAAAAAAATTACAAATGAAAATATAATAATGTTAATGTTAATAAAATAAAATTATATTTGGCAGTTCAACATTCATATTAGGAATTGGATGTTTACATATAAACTATTTCTACATTTACAGATGTATCAAACAGATATAACATATTATGAATGTTTGCTATTGAAAAACTGGAACAATATAATATACTCAAAAGAACATATTATTCTTTAGAAAATGCATATTTTATCCAAAATATACAATGCAAAGGCCTCCTCCAACGACAACAACAAGGTTGTAAACTTGATCAATTAAGAAGACATCAAAGTAGCGTCTAGTAAATAAAACATGGGGTAGCTCCAAAAGGGTAGTTAAACAACTCAAACCAACTCCAAATTTAAATGCATCAAGCAAAGAAGTTGATTTAAAGAAAT